AAAGGAATTTTTTTGCTCAAAACTTTTAACTTGGTTAAAAAACATTAAAGTGAAAAATGTTCAAATGTACAGACCTTATAATGACGGGCTGCAATTTTCACGTGATACAATTTAGGTAAAATATTACAATCAGGAAGCTTCAGTATATCACCATCTAAGTAGTCTCCAGATGAGTTGGCAAGAACAGAGTTTAGTTTCTGTAGTTCATCTCTCAATAAATCTCTCATCTGGTCTTGTTTTTTGGGATCTTTATTTTTCAAATATCTGCACATAAATAAGAAATAATGTTTTTGTGTTAAGAAAGTTATTAATATAATTTACAATGTAAAATTAATAACATAAAAGCTTAATGTTTCCAAAAACAAGTCATACAACATGACAATGCTGAGAGTTAGAATGTTTTTGAACAAAAAAAACTTCCCAAAATGCATATCTTATGGCTTTTATTTGTACCATTTTTAAACAAAATCAGACGGGCAGACAGACAGAACCCATAAGCCAATCATTTTCGCAAATATTTAAACAAGCAGCCTGTCAGCTAAGATAGCTCAGCTCATGCACATTTCATTGAAGATATCATTAGAAAATGAACAATATGTATAGTATCAAAGCAATTCAAAAATATCACTTTTTACCAAAAATGACAAAAATATTCACTAAAATTAGAGAATTAAAGATATCATCACAAAATGAACAAATCTGATAGAGGTCCACATGTAGTACCTATATATGTAATATCAAAGCAATTGACTTTGCAGTTTTTAACAAGAAGTCGAAAATATCACTTTTTACCAAAAATTACAAAACTATTCATCAAAAATTAGAGAATTGAAGATATCATCATGAAATGAACAATCTGACAGAGGTCCACATGTACTACCTATATGTATAATATCAAAGCAATTGAACTTGCGGTTTTTAACAGAATGTCGAAAATATCATAACAAAAATATTTACCAAAATTAGAGAATTTGGGATTTTGACATGAATTGAACAAATCTGAGAAAGAACCATTCAAGGTACTTGCATATAAAATTTGAAAACATTCTGACTTGCGGTTTCAAAGAAGAAGTTGAAATTGTAAACGATCGACGACGGACAACCAGTAATAACTTTGTCGACAGCGGAGCTAAAAAGCTGAAAATTGGCTAAAAATGATCATTGATATTTGGGTTCTTCTCAACACTTACGCTGTAAATCTTTGAAAAATATTTGATCCAGCATTTTCAGCTACTTTCGTACTTGCTGCCAATGATGGTTCTGGGAATGTCCTCTCAAGGTAGTCGGCAATGACTGCTGAGTCATCCATCAATACACCGTTATGATACAAAACGGGAACCTTTCCTGATGGGTTCATATCAAGGAACTCTCTTGGTTTAATTTGCATATTAATTGGTACCAGTTGATAGTCTAATCCTTTGAGTTGTAGTACCATTTGTATACGGTGACAAAACGGACAATCTCCAAGAGTGTTTCCATCTCTCCCTGCCTGAAATGAACAAGAAAACATTATATCTAAAGCACCGTGGAAGATGTTACCGTCACAGAATTTCATATAACTTACAAGCAAAAAATGTATTTTTACATGTGTTGTAAAACATGTCACAATGACTTTCACGGTCCAGACCAAATTGAAAATATATGGCTCAATAGTCGTACTTGTGGATCCATGTGGTACATACAATAAACAATTACCTGGGATTTATTTTTTGTGTTTGCACTGTTTTCTTTTCTATAGTGAGAATATGTCTGAATATTTTGCTCAGTCACATATGAGTTGAAACTATCGCAAATAATATAATAATGTTGCAAATTTCATTGTAATTCACTTAAAGCAAGACATGGCAATAGTGTGACACTGTTTACAAACAAGCGTCTACCCATGAGCCTTTTGCGTACATTGTTATTGTCACTTAGAAAGGTCATCTGACACGTATCACCTAAAGTCAGCTGTCAAATGCGTAGTGGGGTAAACACCAGACGCTAGGTTCATTTACAAGAAGAAACACATGTATTTCTCCCATTGACAAACAAAAATATTTCTTGCGGTGACAGCTATAACACTACTGGTTTTTATTTTTATTTAATTTCAAGTTCAAACGTACCTGCTCGAAGGGAAACATCATAGAGTAAAGTACAAACAAAAACAATTAACATTCAGTTCCTAAAATACAACAAATTTGACCTCCAATAGGAGTGCACATTCGCCAATTACGTATTAATAATAATAAAGTGCATGTGCTTTTAATAGATGAAATATGGAAAGTGTGTTACAAGGTACTTTACAATGTCTAGAAGTATTTAAAAATAAACAACATTTTTGGTGAGTTTTATCTGAAAATGCATTGTACAAATTACAGCAAAAAAACCACGAGACTTGTTTTTATCTCTCATCACTGCATACAATTTCCCTCTGATCTATAAAGCCATGGTGAATGGGTAAAGATAGGTTTTCATGAAAAGTTTATTTCTGTACACATTGTCTCAAAAATGATGCTGATTCAGTCAATCTTGTACATGTATGCCACATCAAATCTATTTGTTTTTCACTAAAATCACAAATCAAAGGCTTGGCTATCATGTTTTAATAAAAACATTTTGAAATACCAGGATGTACTTGCCATATACAATTGTTTTGAAAATAAATAGGTGCCTATGTGACATATAAGGGCAGTAGTCATCGCGCCATGAGCTCTTCTAATGAAATCACGAGTACAAGTTTTTACCTTGGCGCCCACTTGCACTAATTACTGCCGCCGACTGTTTCAATACCTTTCAATCACCAAACAAATTATCTTATCAGCAAAGGGCTTGGTTATCTCTCAAAGTCGCCATATAAGATCCATATCTCACATACGTGGTGTGACGACTATCGTCCTTTAACCTAATAGCAGTATGAAATATTTACCAACCACCTGTGGATCAAGGCAATTACTAATTCGACGTAAAATAGTTGAAAGCATTTATATCTCTAATTTCTATCCAATTTGATTTTTGTTTGTGCTAGGAACTTGATTTGTGTTTTTTTTTTTTTGTAGAAGTAACATTCTCATTATGACATAAAATCAGTAAGTGTAAGCTACCACATAATTCTAACATGTTTGTAGTAACGTCTCAAACCAGAACAATGTTAACTCCTTGAAGGTCTCATGCCACTAATCAACCAATGGCTGCTCGTAGCCATTTAAATGCCTTGCAAGAACCAATGAAATTTTTTAAATATTTTTTTTCTCAGGTGATCCCTGTTTAAGGGCGTAATCACCTGAGTCAAAGGTGAGACCAACATGTGGTCTTTTGTTTACTACTTAGCGGCTGTGTACATGTGGGTTCATTCTGTGTGTATTTGGATGTTCTAATCTTGGTGTTTTTCTGGTGATTTCTCTAGGTGCAATCCAAATACAGTAGGTGTGTCTTGTTTACCTGAGATTTGTAAGAGTTTGAGCTGGCCAACATGTTAGTTTTTTTTCATGTGGCTGATTACTGACATGTTGATTTCCCATTTTTGAACCATGTTTTCAACTTTGTTATTTTTTTTCATATAGCAATCTTGTCATATGTTAACATTGTCATCTATGGAAATTCAATTAATAGTATGAGCCCTGTACAGGCCTGTACTCCCTGAACAGTCACTCAACACCAATTTGTAGATAACTATAATTAAGCAGTTTAATCTAAAATCTAATTTAATGTTTGACATGAAATGCTTAATTTCACTTCATCCAGATTATCAAATAACCATTTGGTTTCATTTCATTCCATTCCACGAAACAGTTTAATACATTGAAAGAAATCAAAAGAAATTAAATATGCAAGTTAGCTCATTAAATGAGTAAAAACTCAAAATAATAATTTCTACATTCCCTCAAAATTCTTAACAGCGCCCTCAATGACAAGTTAGAGAAATGGATAAATAACGCAACGGCAAATGGATATGATTTCAATATTATATAAAAGTAATT